AACGTTAGGCACCATCAGAAAAAGGACAGATAACAAGGAAGAAAATATCATAATGTCACTAATAAATCCATGGTCTGCCCACCTCTTGAATACTCACACAGTGCGAGTTACCCCATCTAAAAAAAAGATTCCCCCGTATTACAATATGTATGCAGGAATAGTGTCCCTAACTTCTGTTTGTCAGAAGCTGGGAATGGGGAGGAGATCACTTGATGATTCCCTGTTCTGTTCATTCCCTTTGGGGGTACATGTCCACAGCAGCGTTACTTCGGAATAATTGACGTTATTTCAAAGAGCGCATCTACACAGCAAGCCGTTGTTTTGAAATAATGTTGAGCTGGAGGACTTCTTACTCCAACTCCCGTAAGCCTCATTTCATGAGGAGTAAGGGAAGTGGAAAGAAGAACACTCTTCCTTCGACTTGCTCCTGTGTTCACAGGGCCAAAAGCCACATTAAGCTATTTTGACTTCAGCTACACAATAGACTTAGCTCAAGTTGCATAGCTTAATTGGAGTTTTGCCCTGCATTGTAGACGTGCCCTGGGGCACCAGGCACTGGCCACTGTCAGAAGATAGGACGCTGGCCTAGCTGGACCTTTGGTCTGACCCAGTCTGGCCATTCTTACGTTCTTATGTTCTGTGAAAAGGTGCAGTGAAGGGCAACAGAAATTATTAGATGTTTGGAACAGCTTTCAAGAGAGGGGAGATTGAAAAGACTGGGACTTTTTATCTTAGACAAGAGATGACTGGGGGGATACAATAAGGCTACGTCTAGACTACATGCCTCTGGCGACAGAGGCATGTAGATGAGGCTACCAGGCATAGGAAAATGAAGTGGTGATTTAAATAATCGCCGTTTCATTTAAATTTACATGGCTGCCGCGCTGAGCCGACAAACAGCTGATCAGCTGGGATTAGGTTTACCTGGGTGGTCGACAAATGCCTTTGATGTCGACACCTGCGCGTCCAGACTACAGCGCTGAGCCGACAAACAGCTGATCAGCTGGGATTAGGTTTACCTGGGTGGTCGACAAATGCCTTTGATGTCGACACCTGCGCGTCCAGACTACAGCGCTGAGCCGACAAACAGCTGATCAGCTGGGATTAGGTTTACCTGGGTGGTCGACAAATGCCTTTGATGTCGACACCTGCGCGTCCAGACTACAGCGCTGAGCCGACAAACAGCTGATCAGCTGGGATTAGGTTTACCTGGGTGGTCGACAAATGCCTTTGATGTCGACACCTGCGCGTCCAGACTACAGCGCTGAGCCGACAAACAGCTGATCAGCTGGGATTAGGTTTACCTGGGTGGTCGACAAATGCCTTTGATGTCGACACCTGCGCGTCCAGACTACAGCGCTGAGCCGACAAACAGCTGATCAGCTGTTTGTCGGCTCAGCGCGGCAGCCATGTAAATTTAAATGAAGCGGTGATTATTTAAATCGCCGCTTCATTTTCCTATGCCTGGTAGCCTCATCTACATGCCTCTGTCGTCAGAGGCATGTCGTCTAGACGTAGCCTAAAGGTCTGTAAAATCCTAAAGGATGTGGAGAAAGTGAATAAGGAAATGTTATTTACCTCTTCACTCAAAACAAGAACTAGGGGTCACCCAATTCAATGAATGGGCAGCAAGCTCAACACAAACAAAAGCAAGTATTTCTTCACCCAATGCACAGTCAACCTGAGGAACTCCTTGCCAGGGGATGTTGTGAAGGCCAAAAGAATGACTGGATTAAAAAAAATAGATGCATTCCTGGAGGATAGATCCATCAATGGCTATTACCCAGGACGCTCAGGGGTGCAGCCCTATGCTCTGGGTGCCAAAGGCTGCGAGTGGACGACAGGGAATGGATCTCTCACTAGCTTGCCCTGTTCTGCTCACTCCCTCTGAAGCATCGGGCACTGGCCACTGTTGGGACATAGGGCTAGATGGCCCACTGGTCTGACCCATTATGGCCATTCTTGTGTTCTTAGGAACAGGAGGCGAGTACAATCATGCCTGGCAAAGCTACAGACTCTTAAAGAAAGGACAATGGAAGGTGCATTGGCTAAAGATTTGCAAACACTCCACTTCCACCTGGAAGCCACCCAGGTCAGAGGCTTTTACATCCAGTTTTAAGTAAAGCCAGGGAGGGCGGAGCTGCGTGAGGCTGGCAGTGGCTACAGCATAGGCTGAGAAACCTGAGGGTGCACAGAAATGAAGCCAGCGATTCACAGTTTATTACAGTATCTGTGAAAACATACAGGGTGGATGTTCTGAAGTGACCAGGAGCTGAACTCTTCCCTTACAGTCTAAAGAACATCCGTCCGATTGATGGTACAAGGCAGAGCAGTTTGAGGTTACGCTCACAGGAGATGGCTACATGATTTATGATGGAAAAAACCCTCTTTTACTGTCTAACATTCAGGGACATAAAAACTCATCATTATTACTCATTATTTATGCAGGCCCATTAGTACACATGGCATTTTATCTATCATGTGGGATGGGCCTGGTGTCCATCTCTGAATTCTTTCCATCACTTCTATGTCAGGTTTTTATCTCCATGATTTATTAAACGTACTGTGTCACTGTTCACTTGACCATTGCTAATACTAAAAAGCATCCAGCTGTGGCAATTCTGGAAAGTCAGAAATTGGGGGGGGGGGGGGGGAGCAGGCATAAAGAATTAATGAGACAGAATGGGGGGGAGGGGAGGCAAAACCAAATCAGTATGTTGCCTGTTATATGAATGTGAGAAGTATGGGGAATAAGCAGGAAGAACCTGAAATGCTAATAACTAAACACAACTGTGACATAGTTTGCATCGCACAGACTTGATGGGATAATACGCATGACTGGAATATTGGTAGTGAAGGGTACAGCTTGCTCAGGAAGGATAGGCAGGGAAAAAAAGGAGGAGGTGTTGCCTTATATATTAAAAATGTATATACTTGGACGAGGTAGAGATGGACATAGGAGACAGATGTGCTGAGTCTCTGGATTAGGCTAAAAGAGGATAGGACAAGAAACAATGGGATTAAACTTCAGCAAGGAAGGTTTAGGTTGGACATTAGGAAAAACTTCGTAACTGTGAGAGTGGTAAAAAAAACCGCTATTTTGAAAGTGAAACCGTGGTCTAAACGTGGTTCTTTCTAAAAGAAAAGCCTTTTTCGAAGGATCCTGTAAACCTCATTTTTTGAGGAGTACAGGATCTTTCAAAAAAGGCTTTTCTTTTTAAAAGAACCGTGTCTAGACCACAGTTTCACTTTCAAAATAGCGTTTTTCAAAAAAAACGCCATGACGCGATTATACAAATGAAGCACAGGAAATTCAAATCCCGGCTTTGTTTGCAATTTCAATATGTCTAATTTACATCACTCTTTCAAAAGAGAGATGTAGTCTAGGCGTACCCTGGACTGAGGTGGAGATGGACTTAGTTATTCAAAAAAGCTTCATCCACCTCTTCTGCCTGTAATAGACTTCTACCATGACATCAGCCTTCTGTTTTTACCTCTTTAAGTTTACCCAGAGACTCTCAACAACTCTGTCTCCTAACAAAATCATCCAAAGCGCAGGACTTGGTGGTGATGGGGGATTTCAACTCTCTAGACATCTGTTGGGAAACTAACACAGCAGGGCACAGATTATCCAACAAGTTCTTGGACTGCATTGCAGACAATGTTTTATTTCAGAAGGTGGAGAAAGCTACTGGGGGGAGGCTATTCTAGATTTGATGTTAATAAATAGGAAGAAATTAGTTAAAAAGGTGCAAGTGACAGGCAGCTTGGTTGAAAGTGAAATGACAAGAGTTTACAATTCTAAGGAATGGTAGGAAAGAGAACAGCAAACTAAAGACAATGGATTTCAAGAAGGGAGATTTTAGCAAACCCAGGGAACTTGTAAAGTCTCATAGGGGTGTCTACACAGCAAAGTTATTTCGGAATAATGGCTGGTATTCCAAAATAACTACGTGAGCGTGTACACAGCAATTCTGTAATTTTGAAATAAATTCAAAATAATGGATGGCTTATTCCGACTTCCGGAAAGCTCATTCTACGAAGAATAACGCCTACTCCGAAATAGCTATTTCGAAATAAGGCCCGTGTAGTCGCTCCACTGCTGCTATTTTGAAATAGCCCCCAGGGCCATTCTAAGTGATTCCTCCTGGGGCTCTAAATCGAGAGAGCACGTCTACATTAGGGAAGCTGGCCTCGGACTCATTTTGAGGCTTCCCTGCAGCGTAGACGTGCTATTTTGAAATAAGATAGTTTGGAATAACTATTCTGGAATAGCTTATTCTGAAATAACTGTGCAGTGTAGACATAGCCATAGGAAGCAAGACTAAGAAGAGAAACAGTTGAAGGTAGTTGGGAGTTTCTCAAAGAGACTTTATTAAGTGTGCAAAAGCAAACTATCCCACTGCATAGGAAGACAGGCCATCTAGCAAGAGACCTCCCTGGCATGACCAGGAGATCCTGAATGGTCTGAAAATCAAAAAGCGGTCCTACAATAAGTGGAACTAGGCCAGATCTCTTGGCGGCGCTGCAGGCACATCTCCAATAGGTTCCACCAGGCGAACCCAAAAGGCACCTTCTCTGTGCAAGTGGAGGGCACTGTGCCGAGGTTGGGTTTGCCTCTTCAATGGAGGGATGTGCACTGGAGGGGCGATTTCTGTTTAGCATCGTGCTGCTACCGCCCTCCATTAAAGCACACTCCGGAACATTGAGCACCTGCCAACAGGAGCCGTACCGGCCAATTCCCAGCCCAGCACACGAGCACACTTTGGAAATCCCACTCCTGTAGTCAGCATTACTCCCCCTTTGGCTGTAGAGATGCAGAGTGCTCTAGTCACAATGCAAGCAAAGAGCGGCCATTCCCCATGGCTCCAGCAGTTGCTGTAAGTGGGGCCTGACTCTCAAGTGAGCCAAACACCCTCTGTTTCTCCAGGGAAATAGCACCGTCCATCTGGGGGGGAGGGGCATTCTCAGGTGAGCCGGGGGCTCTGCTCTTCTCCTACCTCATTGAACACCACTTTGGGTGGCTGTCCTGGCCCAGCTTTGAGCGGCCTTGTGCTGCTCTTCCATGTTCTCCCAAAGAAAAGACGGTACGTGATGTCAAAGAGGGTCAGGCGGAGCTGGAACTCAACCTCCGACAAGCCTTCGAGCACACGCTGGAATACAAGAATAAACACGCTCAGGGGGAGCTTTAAGAGGCCCGGATCGCAGCAGCACTGAGCTGTGTCGGCAAACCTCAGGGAGGGTAAGAACTCTGGGCTTATAGAAATGCTTCTAAGCCAGGGGTGCGGAACCTTTTCTGGGTTGGGGGCCGCTGACCCACAGGAAAATCAGTCGGGCCACACGTAAGTGAGAAGCGGGAAAAAAACCCACTGTGGCCCCAACCGAGGGAGAAAGACCCTCCCCACATTCCCCTCACACACCAGAGCCTAGTGGGGCCCAGCCTAGTAGATTTTGGGTGCTCCAGCCCCACGGGAGGAGGAAGTGGGGGGACTGGAGCACCAGCACAGGCTCCCCAATGATGGGGTGGGGGCCCTGAGCCTCGGGAGCCAGATCCAGGCAAGCCAAGGGCCGCACCTGGGCCCCAGGCTTGCAATTCACCACCCCTATTCTAAGGGTACATCCACACTAGCCCCCTAGATCGATCTAGGGAGGCTAATGAGGGCGACTGAAATTGCAAATCAAGCCCGGGATTTAAATATCCCGCGCTTGATTTGCATGTTCCCAGCCGGTCGCCATTTTAGAAATTGACTAGCCTGAAGTAACTGCCCACGTCTACATGCGGCAGTGAAACGGGATTCCAATTTAAAGCCCTAACTGGAATTAGCAGGTATTCCTCCTGCAATGAGATTTACCAGCCAATTCGATTTAGGGGCTTTAAATCGGAATCCCATTTCACTGCTGCATGTAGACACGGGCAGTTACTTCAGATCGACTTAGGGGGCTAGTGTAGACGTTCCCTTAGCAATAGTTAGTAGCTCACTCTGGCTACGTTTACACTGCAATGTTATTTTGGGATACAGGAGTACCCCGAAACAGCTATCCTGCGTCTTCACAGCAAGCCCGTTATTTCAGGCTAGCTATTCTGACATCCCTGTAAACCTCATTCTACGAGGAGTAAGGGATGTTTTGGAATAGCGCTTTATTTCGAAATTTGGCGCCGCGTAGAGAGAGCCAAATGACAAAATAAGCTATTTCGAAATAGCATCGAAATAAGATACGCAGTTTGCATAGCTCAACTTGGGTATTTTATTTTGAGTTATGGTGCAGTATAGACACACCCACTGAGTGTAATCGAAAAGGAGAAAAGACACAGAGACATTTTCTTCTGACAGCTGCAGCTCAGACCATATAACCTGTAAAGTCAGCGACTTTCCCTATGTTCAGACAAGCAGAGATTTTCTAGGCCAGGAATTCTCACCCTGCAATATGTGTGTGCTGAAAGGAAAAGCTAGCTGCGAATTCAGATGCTGAGGTCATCCTGCCACAGAAAGTGACTTTCCCCAGCAGTGAGAAATCCCAGGACTGGCAAGCAAACCTTTATTCATATGACTTTTAAACAGCAACTTGGTTTAATATATGTGACTAGTGGGCAAATTCTGTAAAACATTTACCGAAGACACTTCACTGAAGCAAACGCGTTTAAAGACATTCAGCCACGTTTCTGTCTCTTCTGCATTTCCTTTCTGCAAAGACTGTCATGTTATTGTCATCTACTGTATATTTCAGAGCCTTTGTCGGTCTGTCTGTCAGTATGTTCAAGAACTCCTCCTAAACAGTCAGAGCTATGGCCACCAAATTCAGTGTGCAGCTTCCTCTGATCCTATTTGAAGCAAGGGCAGGGTTTGGTTGTGCCAGGACAATGGGATGTGCCTGGAATGGGATTGCTAACCCATACAGAAAAGAGACAGACCCACCAGGCAGGTGAAAGGGGATGGCTGGGGGCATGCCCACCCCCGTCCAGGACTGCACAAGCCCTGAGCCTCCCACCACCCAGACATCCTTTACGGAAGGTGGAGCGGGGGGGCTGAAGGGCAGATGAACCTGGACTTGCCCCAGCAGGGGGACATGCACCCCACCCTAGCTGTGCATACTGCAGCTGCAGCGGCCATGAATTTTACTTAAAGGGGCTTTTTCTGAGAGTCCTGAGCTCAACGCTTCATTATGTTGCCGTCTTTGATCATGAAGAAATAACAGTAACATGCCTCTCAACTAAGGAGAGATTCTTCCTACAGGGACGCATTATTTTCCCATTACCAAGACACAGTGGCTGTGGGGCTGAAGAGGGGCATGAAGGTTTAACTGGTTCATGGTTAACAGGGAAGCTTCACCCTTAATGGATGAGGCTTACCTGTTAAGGTTAACTGCTGGGGCTGCAGCAGCTCCCTGCCTGCTGTGTGCAGGGGGCTACTCCAGCCCCACAGGGGTCCCACCGCTGATAGGGGCTGCTCTGGCCAAGATGGAACAGCCTCTTCCTGCCGGGGGAAGGGGATTCCAGCTCAGTGGCAGGCAGGGGGGCTGATCTAGCCAGGTGGGAGCATCCCCCCCAACTTGCCCCCTTTAATCAATTAACTGGTTAAAAAATATGTTTAACCAATTAAACAGGATTTTACATCCCTAGTGCTGAAAAGGCCTTCACTGGAGAACCTCTTTCAAATCAAAGGGATGTAAAAGTATATTTGGAAATGAGTAATTGTGTAACTATATAAAAACAGTGACCGAGTTAGGTAAATGTGAAAACATTTAACACCTACAGCAGACGTTCCCACACTGTGGTACCTATACCACTGGTTGTCCAGTACATCAGTTTGATGTCCCATCCAGTCACTTCACAACAGTTTTTCAAGAGGGGGGAATGAAACCAATAGAACTGAGTTTGGAAACTGCTGGTCTAGAGACGCGTCTCGTAAAGATAAGGAAGTGCTCACTCGGCTGAGGATTTCAGCCCTAAGCCAAGGGACACAGAGCCCATGAACGTGACGGGAAGAGTGCCTGCTTCCCTTAGCTGGTTTTGCAAGTCTCACCCAGCGGGTGGGGTCTGAAATAAGGACAGCTCTAACAAGCTGTACACATCTGAAGCCAAGAATGCATCAAAAAATCTGAACAATAAAATACAAAGTAGGTCATCTTCTTAGCCTAGCTAAAATGAAGCATGTTTAGCTGTCAGTCTCCTTTGACATCCAATATTGCTGTCAGCTTCAGGAGAGTGGAAAAATATTAGCAAGCATGACATTACTTAGTGGCCCAATCCCTGAGCCCACTGAATGTGTTAATAGAATGGTTAGAATCTCAGTACAACATCTCCAACTCCATTTGTTGATTAAAATATAAACCTACCCCCACCCCAAAAAAAGGACCAGCCTAGCTCTAAAACCCTACTGCAAACCCTCAAAAAGGAAGGACAGCAGGAAACCTGCTCCAAATGTCCACTATCACTACAGATCCACCTCGCTGCACTTTCCTGCTAGCAGAACAAAATTCTCTTCAAATTAGCAGAGAAGAATAACAAAGAAAATCTTTTTGACTAGTTTTTCTGCCCTTCAGAACCTGACCTCTGCCTGTGTTTTCTCTTGGCTTGGGGAAAGCCGAGTCTGAACTAAATCCAAGCCGTTCATGAACAGGAGGGAAAACATCGTCTGTTGTGATGCTTAATACTTATAAATGCCAACTCTTGAATCTTTTAACCGTTTGACTTCCTAAACCAGGGATTGGCAAGATACGGCCCACGGGCTGCATCCAGCCCATCAAGCCGCTTGATCCAGCCCATGGCCTACCCTGCCGCTCCCCCGCCCCCTAGCCAATCGAGACCCGGGGACCAAGGAGTGCACGAAGTCAAAGCAGCTGGTGGCTCCCTCTCCCCGCCAAGGGCCTAGAGGGACCACAGGTCATTTTGAACAGCGAATGACTTTGTGCACTCCTCTGCCTCCAGGCTCCAATTGGCCTGGGGGTGGGGGATGAGAAAAATCTCCTCCCTCTGCCAAGGGCACGCAGTGCCTAGATGGCCCCCCTGCACAAATTATTGCCCACCCTTTTCTAAACTATCACCCACTGATCAAATGCATGTCTGAGCATCTTTTCTCACAAGGTAAATAAAGAAAAGGAACCTGTGAGGTCATTCACTTTGATGTGTAGTCCTACATTGGGCTTAAATTGCAGCAAGGGAGGTTTAGGTTGAGCATTAGGAAAAACTTCCTAACTGTCAGGGTGGTTAAACACTGGAATAAATTGCCCAGGGAAATTGTGAAATCTCCATCACTGGAGATATTTGAGAGCAGGTTGGGCAGACACCTGTAAGTGATTCTAGACGGTGCTTCATCCTGCCGTGAGGGCAGGGGACTGGACTCAATGACTCGCGAGGTCCCTTCCAGTTCTAGTGTTCTGTGATTCTACGATTCCATCCCTTGCTCAGGTGAAAGTTCCACAGACTTCAAAGTTCCTGATCTCACCCAGGTAAGAACTGCCTTTCTGAGTTAAGTCAGCCATAGCCACCCTATAGTTCATGTTAACACTCGGGCTATGTCTAGACTACAGCACTTTGCCTGGATATCTTTGGTATCCCAGAAAAGCAATGCCGCATCCAAGGAGCGTGTCCATTTTTTCGGAAAAATTTTCGAAAAAGCAGATGCGCTCTTTCACCATCCCTGTAAAGCTCCTTTCACAAGGAAGAAGGGATGTGTCAAAAGAGGACTTTTTTCTGAAATTTGGCACCGTGTAGAAGCACCAAATTTCGGAAAAGCCTCTTTCGACATTAAAGCGGAAAAAGATATGCAATTTGCAAACTGCAAATTGTGTTTCTTTTTCCGATTTATCTTTGCAGTTCAGACCTAGCCTCTGTTTCTCTTGAAGCTGCGTTTTTTAATTAGTATAGATTAGATTATGTCTTCAAAGCCTAGCGGCAACAAAGGGGAACGCACAGGGAGATCCATGTACCTAATCATGGTATGAGTGTAAGTGTTTGCAATCAGTAGTATTGCTCCACGGATCCTAAACTGTTGGCCAGAGAGGAGCTATTCTTTCCCATTAAAAGTCTTCCCTTCCCCCACCCCCACCCCAAAAAATTACATTAATTTCCACAAGACTTTGCATTGCTGACAATGGAGGATTTACTTGATCAGATGCCTCCAAGAATGGCCAATAGCTAATGACCAGGAAAAGGTGAAAATGCCCCCAGAATGCACCAGGAGAATTGTGCCATTCTGTACAAGATAAGAGGGAAGGTCCTTCCACAAACTTCTTGGGTCCAGCCTCCACCTCAATAGTTATTATGAAAATGTAAAAATTAGAGGACTCTAATCCAAGCAGAGAATGTCAGCAAGAGAACGTTATGGGAGCAACACTTCCAGAAGGCAACAGCATATTCCTTTACCTGCTTCATTACATTTCCCTCAACATACTTCAGGACACACTGAAATGCTATTGATTCCCTCGGGGGGTGTCGCCTCCTTTGGCAGTGCGGAGGAACAGCCAGGTTTTGCACAAAAATCCTTTGCCATTCACTCATCTTGCTGCTTAGAAGGTCACCTCTTCCTTTAGGCATCTGCTACGGCAAATGTTCAGCTAGAAAATAAAACTCATTTCAGAAAAACGCATGCTCGGAACCTGTCATCTTAAAACCGGTACGAGAACACCCCAAAGCCAAAGCCAAGCACAGTTTTACTATCCAAATTAACAAGCTGGTTTTAAACAAGGGGTTGTTGGCATCTCTTTCCCCCCTTAAAGGCTGGGTGCCATTGCAACCCCCTTTCCCTTCCAGATGATCTGATGGTGCTTGGTCCTGCTGTGAGGGCAGGGGACAGGACTCAATGGCCTCTCGAGGTCCCTTCCAGTTCTAGTGCTCTAGGATTCTATGACTTGACTCCCTCTGGGGCCAGTCCGCACAGCTGTGAGCATCTGCCAAATGTCATTCATGCACACTGGGCAACACTCCCTTCCTGTGGGGTGGGCACTGATGGCTGAGGAGTTGAGGGAGGAGCCCGTGAACCCCCACAAGGGAGGGACAGACCAGAGTTGTAGGAAAGGTTGCCCACTCCAACAGCACCAGCACCAAGAGCTGAAATTCTGTGCCGCATTTCCCGGAGGCACGTCCCCACGGGCGCCACATGGGCCTAGTGGAAAAAACTACAATACCCCTGGGATTTTGGGTTCTGCCCGGGATCAAAACAGTCAACGGCGTCAACGAGAAGCCACAGAGATGCACAGCACAGAATCTCCACAGCAACATGTGCTACAGAGAGTTCCCAGCATGCTCTCTGTGCTGGGGGGTAGAGGGGGCAGAGTGGGGTGACTTGTGGGAACCCTACACCGTTCCGCTGGAGGAAGACAAACTTTTGTTAAACCCTTTAGGACAGGCGCTTGTCTCCGTGTCTGTACACCACCCAGCACAACGGGTCCACTTGGCTGGACGTTATCATGGTATAAACAATTAACCAAAGATGGCTGGAGATGCTCCTGCTGTTTAGCTCAAAGCTGCACTTCGGACTGCAGTCTGAATCGTTCCAACAGCCACTAGCTGCCTCCATTTCTAAGGAAGAGTTTCTGAAGAGGGAAGACAAGCGATACCACCAGAGACGATCCTCTCGTTTCGACAAAGAACTAGACGGCCAGCAGGCAGCGTTCAGTTCCCAGCTCAAACTCAGCCCCCCTGATGGCATTGGGGAAGTCACTCAATTTCTCTGGGCCTCAGTTTCTTCTCTGGGAACAAGAATAATAATATTTCCCTACTCCACAGGGGGTTGTGAGCATAAATGAATGAATGCCAGAAGGGCTGAGAGATTACAGCTAAGGGTGGGATGTAGAGGTATAAAATCCCATTTAATTAGTTAACAGGTTAAATGTTAAGTCTAACCAGTTGACTGATTAAACAGGAGGCAGGCATGGGAGCTGCTGGGCTGGAGTGGGCTCCCCGCCCTCGGTGGCTGAGCTGGAGGGGTTTCCCTGCTGCATGCAGGGGCTGCTCCAGCTGGCCTGGGGCGCTCCTGCCCGTGGCACGCCTGGGATGGGCCACCACAAATGAGGTTTGCTCCGGCAGGGCTGGAACATCCCCTCACCCACAGCAACCCACTGCTGCAGCCCCCACCAATTAACCGTAACCAGTACGTATCACCGACTCAAGGGTTAACCATTCACACCCCTAGTGAATATCATTAGGAATGTAAGAAATCACTTGTGCAATCCCCTCGTGCGAGACCTGGCTCCTTTTGTAGCAGCGTACCGGAGCGATAAGTTAGGCTATGTCTGCACTTGGTGCGAGAGATGTGATTCCCAGCTGGTGGAGACACACTCGTGCTAGCTCTCAGCAAGCTAGTGTGCTGAAAGCCGAGGTGGCTTTGGCCGCACGAGCCCAGGAATGTACCTTGGGGCTCTGTTGGGCATGGCCTTGCGCTGGATAGCCTTTTCTGTGGATCGCACTGCGGCCGCTACAGTCTAGGTATTGGCACACCAGCCTGATGCCAGCTGGCTAGTATGTCTTCTCCCATTGGAGTTCGAAGTAAACCACTAACTCAAATTAGCTGTTACTCCTCGTGGAATGAGGTTTAACAGCAAATTCGAGCTAAGGGGTTTACTTCGAACTCCCGTTTCACTGCCGCGTGTAGACACGGGCAGTTATTCCAGGCTAGTCAGTTTCCAAAATGACGCCCGCCTGGGAACATGCTAATGAAGCCTGGGATATTTAAATCCCGTGCTTCATGTGCAATTTCGGTCGCCCTCATTAGCCTCCCTAGTTCGAACTAGGGGGCTAGTGTAGACGTACCCCATGTGTTCAGGGAGGAATGGTATTACTGGGATGCTAGTCTAGAAGATCAGGCAGTCAAAAATAATAATAAACACATTTTACTTTTAAATTGCTTACCCCCACCGAGGGATGCGCAGCCCTGTACATCATAAAGCAAAAGATCCAAAGTGACAGCTTCCTGCGGATTAAACATAATTTTAAATGAATAATTAAGAGACTTGTTTGATGACTTCCTGCAGACCGAGATTTCTACCTGTCTGTCAACTTTAGGTGGCAAATCCTGACTGAACCCACAGAAACTGGATTGCTAAGATTTTGACTGCTATGGTAGACATGAGCAATCCATGAGCAATCTGAAGCTGCGATCTAGGTCCTTCACGCCACATAAGCCTTGCTTCCATGAGCAACTTTATTCAAATTTCCTAAATCCCATCCACATCACTTGGGTAACCATGGTGAAAGCACTACGATAGACATGTTGTTAGTGACCACTGACATTTTAGTGACCGTGCTGCAAAACTGCCAACCTCAAGACTTCGACACTCAGGAGGTTTTAAAAATAATAAATGTGGGGTGAGAATGAGGAAAGGGACTATTCAGTTTTCAGGGTTCACATTCTCAAGCTTTTCTCCACTACCCCCCAAGACTAGAAATAACAATTAAAGGTAAGATTTTCATGTAACTACATGATGCTGGGAGCTGGGCTTTCAGAAATACATCCAATATTGCGAGGCTTGTGAAAAATTCTTGAGAGTTAGCAGGACTGGCTGTGTCATCTTTTATTAAATATGATTGGATGGCCCAATTGGTAACAGGACACCATCCTCCTACCACTACTGGAGCTGCACCAGAGCTAAACCAACAATTGGAAAATGCAAGAAAACTGCCTGTCTACATTAGCAACTGAACTTGTTTCCTGTCCCAGAGGAGGGCTCATTGTTGACATCCATTGCATCACTCTCTTGTTTAAAATTAAGCATTGCATACTGAGGTGCGGGAACAATTTGTATAGTGAGGATACTGAGAACCATTGGACCAAGCCGTAAACCCTCCATATAATGGAACTCGCTTCAGGCTAAAGGCTGCTGTAGCATCTCCCGCACCCGTTAGCTCCAGCACCTATGCAGCATTTTTGTGGGCCTAGCTTTGCTTATTTTTGAATGACTTGCTCGTTTTGATGCGGTGCAACACCCACACTCTCATTTTAGTATTAAAAATCCACCATGATCGAACTAGGAAAGAAAGAGTCCCACTTCCACGGGAAGTGTTCTTCCTTCAACTTCCTGCTGTGCAGACAGCGCCAAAAGTCGAGTTAAGCTACTTCAACTTCAGCTACTCAATTCTTGACTTGACTTTGTCCCATAGTGTAGATGTACCTTCCTGTCCTCCCTTCAGTGGGCATGGAGGAAAAATCATTCAGACTCCTTATTAACAGTCCTTAAGGTATCAAAGGCTATTATTTGGTTCCAGAACACAGTCTTTTTTTCTCAAGAGGAACCACACCCATTTTTTTACCTTTGCTGCTAGGTCAGATTTTCTAAACTTTGATAATGTTTGTTTTTCTCCTTTGGGCTCTCTCAAATTTGTCTACATCTTTCTGAAAGGGTGGTGCCCAGAACTGGACACCTACTCCAGCTGAGGAGTCAGGAGTCCAGTGGTGAGCAGAACAAGGTGATCACCTCTATGTTTTACATACAACACACCTAGCAATGCACCACAGAATTACATTAACCTCTTTCGCAACCATCACATTGTTGGCTCCTATTAAATTTGTGACCTACAATAGCCCCCAGATCCTTTTCTGCAGTACTCCTGCCTAGACACGTATTCTCCATTTTGTGTTTGACTTTCAGGGGAGAATTGTCCTGAAATTGTTTAAATTTGATTTTTCTTTCCTAGGTAAAATACCTTGCCCTTCTTTTGTTATTTTCTTCTTATCAAAGACAAAACTCAACCCCAACTCTGGAATTCCACATTGGCTCTCACCTCACACCTAATTTAGGCCTAATCTTACCCTAGGGCAGGGGTTCTCAAACTTTGTGATACCACGACCCCCTAAAATGCTAAATGAATTTGTGTGACCCCAACCCCCACCCTTACTGCCCTGGGTCACTTCCTCCCCCCTTCTCACCAGAATCCTTGCCCTCCTAGGGTTCCTTCAAGGCGTTTGCAGTCCTCAACGCCCTTCCCCCCTGCAGGCTCCTTCCCCTTCCTCTGTGCTTTTTTCCCCGCTCTGCTTCCCCCCCCTTTTTTTTCCCCTTCTTTCTCCTCTCCTCTTCTCTGCCCCCCACGTGCCCTTATTTACCTCCAGGTCCTCTGCCCTGACCCAATGACCCAGCTTGCTGCCTGAGGGACCCCACCCTCTCCCAGCTGGGAAGTGTTTGGTCACCCGGTAACTGTGCCCTGGCCGGCCCCTCACTCTCCCACCGCCTTGCCTCCTCCTGCAGCTGAGCCGCGCTCCTGGAGTCCCACGGCCTCGGTCACACTGCGTGGCTTGCTGGCGGCTGCCTTCTGCCACCCTGCCACACATTTTGGATCCATCCTTCTAACTAGCGCTTTAAGGCTACATCTACACTGCAGTGCTATTTCAGGATCCCTCCTATTCTGCGTCTTTTGAGCACGGACGTTATTACAAAATGGAATGGGCTTGCTATTCTGACCTACCTGTAAACCTCCTCCCGCAAGGAGAGAGGGACATTTCGGAATAGTGATTCACTTTGAAATAAGTGCTGTGTGGACAGCGCCAAATTTTGAGATTAACTTGAAATAAGCTAGGCCATTTGTGCAGCTCAATTTGAGAAGCTTGTTGGAGTTACCGGTGCAGTGTAGATGCAGCCTAAGTTCCCCAGGACTATCCAGTCCAGGTGGGCTCTGGTTTCTTAGGGAATCTGAAACCAGTTGAGTTTGGTGTTTGTGTAGGAATGTTTCCCCCAGCACCAGCCCCGTCTGGCCAGGTTGCTGCTGACCGAGGAGTCTAGTCTGGGGATTCATGGAGTAACCCCCAACGCTGACGCTCCTGGGTTACACCGGCATAAATCCGGAGTGGGAGGGGGGCGAATCAGCCCCCAGGGCACACCCCGGGGGGAGGCTGCCGGCTAAGGCTGCCCCGGCGGGCTCTGCGAGGAGCGGGGGCATTCAGGGAGGGGAAACCCGGAGAAACTGACACATTTACCTGATACAATGTAGCCATCTTCCCGGACTGCACCAACTGCACCGTCCGGCGGGGGGGACGCTCACTCCACCGGCTCCCATCCCAGTCGCTTTCCCCTCTCCAGCGCTGCCAAACACCCCCCAGGGACCGGATCCCCCTGGGCGGGGCCGCGTCTCCCTCCCCGGCCTCAGCCCCGCGTGGGAGGCCGGGCCCGGCGCCCCCTCCCAAATGGTTCAGCCCGGAGCTTGGCATCAGGTTACTAGGGCGATGGGATGCCGGGGGAGGAGGAGGGTGTCAATCTGTGCTCCTGCTGCAGCGGGCGGGAGCCGGGCTGCGCTGGGTGAGCCGGGCGCCGGGCCGCTAGAGGGGCGGGCAGGGCTGGGAGAGGGATCTGGGCTCAGGGCCCCAGACGATGGGGGAGCAGCGGGGCTCTGGCTGGGTCCCGAGCGGGGAAGATGCTGGCGCGGGCTGGGCACCAGACTGGAGCAGGCTGGGGGGGTCTGTTGGTAACCAGGCGATGCTGGAAGGGTCTCTGGCTGGGTGTCCAAGCA